CTCGTTTGACTTCTGATTTTCTATCTGACTGGTAACAACCGAATTTAGAAGGTGCTACTGGTATCTAGTTGTAAAACTAGAATATCCGTTGCATCCTCAACTCCTAACAAAACCGGTTGCGCTACTTTGTGATCGGCGATGCACAAAAAATATGCAACCAATGCTAAACGCTTGGAATTTAAGTACAGCGGTAGCGGCGAAGAATGACGATGATAGACCCCAGATAGAGAAGGAACGGTCGACTTTCTGTCTCTTTGCATACTGTGACAAAGTTTAGTGAACGACATTTAAACTGAAAGTTTGAACACAACTTGAGAATAACCTACTTATGTCCATAATCGCAGATTGGTTCATGTTCCCAAGTCTTTTGAGAAAGATATCAATCTGTAGATTGATAAGTTTCTTCATCTCACCTAAGTATACCATGAATCTAAAAAGAATCTTCAAATAGTGTTAATTCCAAGTGTCTGGAAATTAGAATGTCCCTGGCGGTGAGTTGTTTGAATCTGCTGATGAAAGATGTCATCAGTTCGTGATGCATCATTTGGAAACGCCATCCTTCCTCCAAGGAGATGTAGTTTGTTAGATCCAGCTAACTTAGTATCCCCCCCATCAACACCTATAATGAACAACACTAAACCTTGGGGCAACGTTACGTCCCAATATACCCCATAACTGTTGATTATTTGAAATGGAAGGTCTGTCCACAATAATATGTAAGTTCAAGGTATCATAATTGAGAGTATCCAAAAAAACTTCAATATATCTAACCTGATTAACTATCTATTCTAGATGGTAGTAAACACCGATACTGGTGTACTTATGTTGAAGGCTTAGGCACATTTGTAGGACCCTTTTAAAGCTCCTAGGTAAATTCGGGATCAGATCTCAAACGCATTTATCTTACGATCAGTATCTCCGATCGCCTGACAGCTACATGCTGTCAGTTTCATCAGTGAAACATATGGTTGTACTAACGACATTCCTTAGCTTATATAACACTCGATTATGCGGAACTTTGTCGAAAGCTTTGCTGAAATCGATGTAAGCTACGTCTATAGGTAACTTTTGGTCCTTAACAGCGCATCAGCTTTCACGAGCGACTAATAAGTTTGTGAGACAAGAGGGTGGAGTTACTGGCCAGTAAGCACTGATGGTGTGGGCGATGATTTCAATCCACCCGTGTTTGTGGGGCAGAACATTTTGTTTGTATCAGGCTCTTTATAGATGAGAACAAGTCAATAGATCTGTGATATTGAGATCGTTCACCTGCACTCACCATTAAGACTCATGTTTCTAATTTTTGTGCTGGATTAACTATTCTACTAAGACAACCTTTAACATGCTAACTCGGACTTTTACATGAACACTGTGTGGCAGGCATCGGATGAGAAAAGAAAAAAAACTGACTGTAAAAGATATGGTTGCTATTTAACTTAACACTACTCTCTATATGCACTCTCTATTCTTCCTCATTCCAACCTTGACTTCCCTCCTTCATTGGAACCTACTCCACCTTGATAAATATCACAACTCATTGTTCTTTATTACTGCCTTCTCTCTTCTGGAGCCCCTAATCGCAGTTTACTCTTGCAACATGAGCTAGTATCAATTTAATCTAATGATTTATCATACCTCCATCTGTTCCACTAATAAATGTTAAGCATTGATTATCGCTCATATCCAAATGCCTTGCTGCTCCTCGGTTTCTCTTTTATTTTTTCTCTTCAGAATCTTGCTCTGAGGGTGAAGCTATGTGACTTTTGACATCTGGAACAAGCTTGACGAACGCGCTTTCCCAAGGTCATGGCTCGAACCAGGCGCTCCACAAGCCTACTTTATAACAACTATAAACTTAAAAAGCTGCATTACATAAATACTTAGGACTACCGAAACACTATTACACTTTTTGTCGAGATTGGATCTGGTATATAACGTGGACGCTATGCCCCTTTGGAAACTATTCTTATGAAAACACATTATATCTGAACGAATGAACTGCTATCAACTTTTATAGACTATAATTACTAAACAAGCTTGCTTGGGATGCATACTGTGAACCGGTATATGTTGTAAATTGTAGATCATGCCTGTAAAAATGGCGTGTACCGGCTAATGCAGAAATATATTATTATTATTATTATTATTAACAGTTCCTTCCGAATAATCTTTTCTAAGATTTTAACAACTACACTAGTTAGGCTAATTGGTCGGTAATTATCAGGCTTATGTTTTGTACCTGTTTTGAAGACTGAACTTACTATGGCGTCCTTCCAATCTTTTGGTAAACGACCCTGGGTTACGGATAGATTAAAACATACACTTAAAGGGTTCACAACAAAATTAGCTAATTCCTTTAGTAACCTAGGATGCAGTTGATCGGGTCCAGTGGATTTACCTGTGTCAAGCTTAACTAGCAGACCAAAGACATCGAGTTCTTTAATGGTCACGCTGTCCAGTGCTTGTGTGGGGGATTTTCATGGACTGGTGAGAAGGGTGTTTCTATGGTGTATACATTGCTAAAGTATTTAGAGAATACTTGAGCTTTGCCAAAATCGTCAGCCGCTAGTGATGAGGCAGTACTGTCTCCCCATAGTGAAGGAGCATTTCTTCTTCTTTTTGTCCTTTGGTTTATATACGAATACAAGCGTTTAGGGCATTCTATGGATTCCCCAACGATTTTCTCTTCGTACAGCTTTCTGGTCTTACGGAGGGTCGAGGCACAGGTATTTCGAGCCTTTTGATACTGAGATTTTGCCTCGTCAGTCCCCAGTAACCCGAATCTATCCCACATTTTCCTTCTCTTACGGAGAAGGATGCGAACCTCCCTACTGAACCACGGTGGGGAGTTTCTCGGTCTCTTAGGTGTAGTCCAAGGGATGTTGGGGGCGGTAACTTTTAAGTATAAATTCCGGAATTCGTCTTAAGCTGTTTCGATTGATGACCCTGGGTTTATTTTCCAATCTACTGATGATGCTGATTTCATGATGTCTGGTATGTTTGCTTTCCAGACGTTAGGTCTGGATTCAGCTGAAGCGTACTCGTGATCGACAGTTATATGGAAGTCAAAGCTTAAAACTACATGATCACTTTTGCCTAGGGGTGGCATGTAATTCAGGTTTGAAACGTCATCCTCATAATGAGTCAATATAAGATCTAGTAAGGATGATGCAGAACTCGGGTCGTACCTAGTTGCTTCCTTCACGTGTTGCACTAGGGCACATGTGATTACCGCATCAACTAGTTCCAGTTCGAAGGAGTTTGCTAACGATTCAGTCCGCAGATTTCCCCAGTCCACCATGGGTGCATTAAAGTCCCCTAGGATTAGACATCGATCACTTCGTGATAAAGTGTTGAGACTGCTTAGCAGGACCTCGTTTACCTCACAGCTTGGACTGCGATAGATCAAACTAAGTAGCAACTCTTGTCCCCTGCGTTTCAGGCGGCAGCTAACTAATTCATACGTCCCACTCTCATGGGATACACTGTCGATAATGGTGAATGGAATAGCATTCCTAATGAATAGAGCTACTCCCCCTCCTTTACGCGTTTGTATTCTATCGGCCCTTACTAATGTAAAACCCTCGAAATCAAGTTCCCTAATATCTATAGACGGCGTCAGCCATGTTTCTGTGACTGCGATTATGTCTGGCCTAGTTGAGTCAATTTGTACACCTAGTTCCGGTAGCTTGTTGAGTAAGCTCCGGGCATTGGTATAACAAATCCGAAGCCTATTTAGGTGGCCTCGTGCTTAACCCAGAGTGGCTTCGGCATCATCCTCTGTCGAAGCCTCACAACCCGAAAATTTACAATTTTCAGGTCTTTTTCGCCAGCGTCTAATCTGAGCTGTAGTTCTTTTTCGGCTTCCCGTCTTTTTAAACGGTCCGCTAACGGTAAGTCCTTACGGAGAAAAACTCCTGAACCCTTTAATTTGTGTCCATTTTCTAAGATTAAGTCGCGTTCGTTTGGGGATTTGAAAACGACTTTGAGCAGTCTAGACTGATTTGGCTTCAGGTGAGCTAGATTTCCTAGTCTATACACCTTTAGCAAGGTGACTTCGGAGATGTTTTGGGGCATAACTTGGTTGAGTAGTTGTTTTAACAACACAATGTTATGCTCAAAACGAGCTTTCGGTTCTGAGTTGTCACTCTCCTTGACTCTATGGAAAATGACTGATCTGTCGCTGTGATCAGACCTCGGCTTGTCGACCCTTTTGGTGGGGGTATGATTTCCTTGTACGTCATTTTGCCGTTTTGTCCTTACGACCCGTACCCAATCGCCAACGTTCTTTGGAGTGGTAACCACAGTCGCGTCAGGCGTACTGTGGGATTCCGTAAGGTTCAGGAGGACTTGAGAGGTTGGGTCATCTTTCGCGCTGGAAACCGATCGAGCCTTGCGATTTTGGGTTCCGTAAGTTCCCTTCTGGGTACCATTTTTGATACGAGGGACAGAAGAGACTTTTTTGCGCGAGTTTCTGGTTGTGACAGACCTCTTTGGAGGATGTTCTTCCTCCTTTGGACAGTGTGGGTCAGCATTTCTTGGACTCACGGCGGTGGCAAATGCTATTGTTGCATATTCCAGTCATTTTAGGATGAAAAAGTGAGTTTTGACTAAAAGTAGAAAAAACTATAAATAGTTAGGACCAAAGTACTAACAGATACAATAGAAAAACAAGGTACTCTGGAGTGCCGACGATAAAACTATTTAGGATACCAAAAATTATACTCTAGTCGAATACTTTAACTGAAAGAAATTCAATCAAAGTATAAACAGTAGTCTTGATACGTTAATAACGATCGAAACAATAAAATTTACTCAAAGAGAAAAAATATCACTGTCCTTTTTAAATAGCGCGCGAGTTTCGTAAAGCCTTATTAAAATAAACAATTAATCCTATGAAAGCTATGATTGCTTCAGTCATGACCAACTAAAACTATTGAAAGTCGTAAACAATAATTGAGGATTGAAAACCTATATTAGTCACCTGATTCCTTCCATTTGGTGTAGCGCCAGTTTTAGTCCTAAATGTAAGTTATCCCGTTGGCCTTGGTTAGGCTTGAGCTCAGGTCAGTTTTGTTTTCTTTTCTACTTTGTAGACTGGTTACATCTATCCAAAAAGCCGCCTCCAGTTACTGACCAAATATATATCAACTACTCAATAACGAACATCATACATACCGTCAGTCGTCTTCAAATCTGAAAATCCTTATCTAGCCGTGTATTTAGTCTGCTATTGGTGTTCACAAGTTTATCTAGTGAACTAAACAGAGTTCGTGGGACCTTCAAGCTTTCGATTATGGATTCGGTTAGACAAGTTGTTACACGTACTGCTCTTGGACTTGCCGAGTATGTAACACCTATACTAAAAGAGTCAAAATTCCGGGAAACAGGAGTCATCACGCCTGAAGAGTTTGTAGCAGCAGGGGACTTTTTAGTTTATCATTGCCCAACTTGGCAATGGGCAACTGGCGATAAAGGTGCTCGTTCTTATCTTCCCAAAGAAAAACAGTATCTGATTACTCGTAGTGTACCTTGCTACAAAAGAGTGAAACAGATGGCAGATCATAATGAAGAGTTTGAGGAAGTGTTAGAAGAAGAGGATGGTGATGGTGGTTGGGTAGACACACATCATTATGCGACTAAAAATGACAATCCTGAGATTGAAAATGCAAATGAAATGACTGTTTTGAAATCGGATAATGTATTGAATCATGAGCAAAGTAACACAGCTTCCGATTATGATGAAGAAGATGAGGATATGGAGGCTTTCTTGCAGAGTGGTATGTTGGATGAATGCGATCCAGCAGCTGTTAGTGCCCGGACAAAAGTACTCAATACATCAAGCACAAACCAAACATTACATTTTGGAGTAGACCAGAAGGCAAATTGTGAAAATAGCGGGATTCTGCAATTAAGAACTTATGATTTGTATATCACCTATGATAAATATTATCAAACTCCGCGCTTATGGTTGTATGGTTATGACGAACATCATCAGCCGTTGACAGAAGCTGAAATGTACGAGGACTTCAGTCAGGATCACGCGAGGAAGACTGTTACAACTGAATCACATCCACACTTGTCCGGCCACATGATGCCATCTATCCATCCATGTCGACAGGCCGATGTAATGCGAAAGTTAATTGAAGCTGTGGCTGACGGTGGAGCTGAATTAGCTGTTCATCAATATCTCATGATATTTCTAAAATTTGTCCAGGCTGTTATACCTACAATTGAATATGATTATACTCGAAATTTCAATCTTTCTTCATTTGCTTAGTCTCTATATTTTGGCAGTTTTATTGACTCATTAGACTATAATGGTTAATGCTTCTTCATAATTGACTTGTATTTCATCTTATTTTAAAAGAAAGCGTAATGCTCAGATGTTATTCTCCAATTTCTTTGAGGTGGATCGTTCGTTGACTTTATTGATTAATACATACAAGTTTGTGTAAATGCTCTTTTTTAATTCCAAGTGAAGTCCCCTATGCATATGCGGTTAGTACTGCTGTATTTATGTCTGTTTTGTTCTTGATTACTTGTGAACATGTATGTCTCAACAACAAAAGCTTAACTGAGTTTCTTTCCCGATGGATCATATAACGACCGATTTCTCTTTTAATAAAAAAGTATGAAAATTGATCTACTGGAATCAGACGTTTTTGAGCTAAGAAGTTTTTGATCTTAAAACGACGTTGGTTTTGTTATTTTGTTCCATAAACCACCCGGAGCTCATGATCGCTATCTTTAGTCATTGACTGAATACCTACCAACTACATATTAGGTTGGGTTGTATATTATTGGCAAACTCGTCAGGTCACCACACATGGGCCACTCAGTCTCTTCTGGGAGGGCATCCCAACGGAGAACAACACGGTTGGATTTCTCTTGATTGGGTTTTTGGTTTCCCAAAACTAGTTCTCACGCTACAGATGAGTCATACAATGTGCATAGTATTCTGGTCTGCGACCACACTAACTCAAACCCTATGGTTTTTTCGAAGCGTGAATTAACGGTATCACCATCTTCATACTCGGTCATAATGAGAACAATGTTCTTCCTGCAGGGAATTCTGCGTAGAACTTAGTTGGTGGTCTATATAAGTTTTAAATGTGATTCCAGATGGACGTACTGGACTTCAGCTGACTCTGGTTTTATTCTGTTTTCTACCTTGTAGACTATCCACTTCTGTCTGTAAGATCACTTCAGTTGCTGACCGAGTACGTATCAACTACATCAAACTCAATATCTTACAATTTGTACTGCTTCTAAAGAATGAAAGGTGGTTTCCAGCCATTACTCAATATTTCACGTTCGTATGATCCCATTGTAATTCGGAATCCAAATAAAATGTCTCGAATAGTAAGTCAACAACTATTCATCTTATTATTTTTCAGAGACGACTTGGATTTCTAGCCTTGTTTATGCTTCCAATGGTCGGTGCACTTGGAATAGCCACAACCTTCAAACATCACTCGAAGGAGTACAAGGGTCCAGAAATAGTGAAATAATGTAGTGTTTATCAGTCATTATTTTATATAGTTTAGAAGAGACTAGTGTTTATTCGTTCGCTTATATGGTAAAATAATCTTAAATTGTGATGGGAATTCGCGCTGAACTTCTTTCATTAGTGTCCTACGTGGTTCACTAAATTTGATAATCGAAAGATAAGTTCTCCGGACAGCATTCTTCCGGTATGCATTTAAGAGTAGGATATTAATATTTAGTGGTTTGTCGCAGGTATAAAGTCCCTGTATGTTTAATAGGAGATAGACGCGTTAGCCATTTTCACGAGAGTTTAATGTTTTCGAGATTTCATTTTATGCCGCGTGGTCATTTATTGACAAGTCATTAATGTAGCTTAAATTCGGTTCTTCATCTTAAATTGTTTTAGTCTCCAAGTGAATTTCTTTTGGCATCTAGAGGATGCTTGTCCAGACTTATGAATCGTGCATAGTTTGTCAGTTTCATATGAGTGACTGAATAGTTTTTTCCATTTCTAGCGGGAGACGGTGTATAAACGAGTCTGTGATAACTACTAACGTTGCAAACAAGAATGGGCTCCATTATGAAATTACTTTCAGTCACCATTTTTGATTATACTAGTCCAAAAAAGGTAGCCACTACATAAAGCTATTTCCGTTTGTTAAATCAAAATCTTTATGCTTAAGAAACTCCGTAAACACCCAGACATCGTCTGACACGGCAACTCCCAAAACCAGTTTCGAAATGCTCTCACAAGACCACAGTATACAGCTTATGCCAAGGAAGTCCTACTCACTGCCTTCTCGTGGCGGGGGTGTTGTTTACGAAATTGAGAGGACGAAAAGCGAATGTCCGGCGCTTTAACCGGGTTGGTCTATGTGGAGGATCCACCTAGGGGAGTTGGAAAACCCTGATTCCAAACCAATGGTGCACATGGCTCCAGTATCCTGAAGGAACAAATGGCGTACGAATCAATCATTGATCACCGGCTACTATGGGACTGCATCTCCTCACGATGCTCCACTGCCTTGTGGACTAGACCTTTAGGTTAAAGGCTCCGGGTGTGACCCCCTAAGAGAACCACTTGCTTCAGTCTGGGCAGTATCACAGCCCTCACACAAATCAAATGAGATTTGTGAGGCGCATATTTATCTGGTGCTTCTTTGTACCAATATTTGTGTTTAAATAAATAAATAAAACCAGTTTAGACATGAACTCAAAGAACAACTCCTATCATCTGTCGTTGGACTGGGTCAATACAGAATTCTCGTTCTGTTGCGTGCTTGTCTGTCATACTGGATGCAAAACAGCCACAACAGAAACGTTACTTAGAGTTCAGCTTAATAGTGACAATGTTAGCCAATCATTAAAGTGATATTCACCCCTATATATTTTGAGATAATGTCCAAAAAACAGAGGTATATATTAATGACGAAACTAAAAGCTTCAGAAACACTAATTTAGGTGGCATCTACTGAAGTAGTAAGTGCTCGGGGACTTACCCAGTCAGTCTTCGAACACAAGGAGCAAAGTCAACGTAAGTGGAGGTTAACACGGAGTCTACGTAGCATAACCTGCTTGTTGTAAGAAAGATACAGTAAACTTCTGTTCAATCAACGAGATAACCGTCTTAATCCTGAATTCCCAAGCATTAGTCCATTAAAACATTTTGAAAGGTTAAATGGCCATTTTGGACATTTAGAGGTAATAAAAAAATTTATTTGCTTTCATTCAGTGACATCAAATTTTCAGAGCCCACTAATTTGTGGCGTCAGATGTTTTCCTTAATAGCTTTTATCGTAAAAGTACTAAGATCTGATTGGGGTATACTTTGGAATTGTTAGTGGTTAAGATCACTATGTCGGCATTCGGAACTAGGCTGTGTCGTTTTATGGTTTGTCTGTTCCGTCATGAAAATCAAACATGCGGGGATAAAGCCTTTTTTCAGACTTAAACATAGTGTTATATGTTGAAACAATCTAGTACAGACCACTCGGTCAACAGTATACGTACAAAATAGTTGTTCTTGTAAGAACAAAGAAACGTGGAACTATATACAAAATACATCTTCCTTCCACGCAATTGGTAATTCACCAGTAGTCTTTTTCTTTAGATAGAAAGTACTTACACCTGGAAGCGTGATCATTTAAATCAACTTTTGTACCTTATTCGTTTATCTACCATAGTATAAAAACTACATTACTGAATTCTTAGTCACTTATTTGTCTGGTGCTGTCTTAATTAAAATGGACAACTATAGCAGATCGCAGATATACGTAAATGTCCTTTAAAATGTTCAGCTTATGAATATCGAGTTATAACGAGATACAGTTGCCGAACTTTTGAACAAATGGATCTCAAAATCCCTCAATAAAACGTCCTACTTAGCTAAGCTCTGTATTGCTTCTTCAAGCCGGTCTACCATTCATGGATGTGCTAGGGATAAACTTCTGACTTATGCCATATTGATGTGCATCCATAAATTTAGTTGCTTCTGTCGGGTAGGTTACATTGACCACAAAGCGACCACTTTTCAAACGCATTTCGGGACACTCCCCGGGGCGACTTTTAAAAAGGATGCAAATCAGTTCAATATATGAACATCTGACCAACGTAGGGCAAGTTGCTCCACAAGAGTCTTCCTTCACAATAATATACACAACCTGAGTTCAACTCGAAAACATGCGCTGGAGACTTCCGTTAATCTCTAAGTTCTGCGTGCAAAAGCGAGACGTCCAAACTCTCATCTTTCATTTGTGTTAGTACCCTTTTGCAGGATGTTTTTATTAGTTTTATAACTTTGAACCGTAATCATTTATTACTGTTCTTTGAGAATTATCATTCACTCAGTTTTCATGGCATTTATACATCTCATTTTTTCTTCATAACTCGAGAATCTAACCCGTTAATTACTTCCGTCCTTCTATTCTTCTATAACCCCCGGGGTTATTTTGCATCCTCTCGTATCACTTTATGATACAACCCTTTTTATCCTTTTATAAACTTATTTCCCATACAACTATAAATACTAATGTACAACCTGAGTAAATAATTTCGTCGTACAGAAAATTCCTTCGGTAAATCTTCTTTACTTCCATTCTGCATATTGATTGTCAACCGACTTTGTTGTGATGTTATAGAAAAGAATTTGTCACGATAATAAGACCTAGTGCCGAAAAATGGAATTAGCAGTCACAGTTGCATAGTTAGGATAGTCGAGGCTGGGTTTCAGAAATGCTATGGCATCTTTTGGAGATATCCATCCAAAAGGTATTTGTACACCCTTCACTTGTGATATTAATAACTAATGTAATATGAGAGTTTTAATACACTGAGCACACTAAATTTACTGAATTAACAATATGATCGTAAGTGATTAGTGATATTATATTCATACAGTTTGCGGTACAATATACTACGAACGGCGTCTCGCCGTTCAGCTGTAGTTTCCAGTCAGGGACTGTTAACTAAGCAACCACAAGCAGCAAAAATCAGACACTACCTGACCAAACAATGGTTGTAAATTCATAGTTGTCAAGAGCGAAAACAGATCAATCTGGTATTTGTAGTATTCTGTTGCATAGTTATACAAGGTGATTTCAAATGTAGTAGAAAACGAGATTTACAGTAAATTCATATGCTACAAAAAATCTGAGTTGAGCTTTCATGGTGAAGGTTCCACGTAATCTGGGTAAATATCGACTTCTGAATTTGGTAATTTAGACCATTCCATAAGACGATGAAATGTCGTAAAATGTGTGAGGAATGCAGATGGAATAGCCACACCTTGAACACGATAAACAATGTTATTTGAAGATCCTCGGAGATAACCAATTCGGGAAAATGAACTGATGGATATTTTCCCAATAAGACCAGTAGATCGGATTAATGGACCATTAGTGAAGCACTAACAAAAATAGGAGATTGTTATATGATAAACAAATTTTGTATCTAGCGTACATACATTTTATGCAATAAAACAAAAGATTAATGTTACTTTCACATAATTTTAGACTGAAATAGCAAAAGTAATAATTTAGTGGTTTCCAATAACTGCATACAGAGCATATCTTACTCTTTCGACACGTGAAAAATTACATTCAGCCTATTGTCTAAATGAAATTTGCGTTTACTAATGCATCCGCTTGTTGATATATATGTGGTGTAAACTTCATTCATTACTCCACCGAACACTTTTCTCTATCTGCGTTCACATATTTCATCAAAATATAAAGAAATATGGCTTAACTAAGTTATTTTTTAAAACATTTGTAACTCAAAAATAAATCAAGCTGTAAGATAATTCTTTGATAGGGAATGATGATACTGACTGGTTATTTCTCTAGTAGATAATGGTTTGAATTTAGCGATCAAATTTTCGGGGAACAAGCTCAAGATGATTATTCAGAGCTCTACGAATACATAGAAACTTTTTTTTCTTGGGAAAATGTAACGTTATGTTATCAACTTGCAGTAAGAAGTTACGGCCGATTTAATGTGACATCTTCCATTAGCTTTTCCGAGCCATGCGATAATTACGACTTACATTTACTATCGTGTGGCATTATATTTTGAACTAAATCGATAGACCTGAGTCCGTAAGAACTTCCACTATTTAGCGGCAAAGTAACCATCTTATGTAAATACAATGTTATGATAATAGAGTTTGATGTCAGTACCTCAACAAATCTTCCCACTCGATATACAGGTAGGGTAGACCTTTCTGTAACTTTGTCCTTGTTTGAAGATAAATCGAGTTGTAATGAATTACTACTGTCTCGGTGTTTGTTGAATACATGATTAATCTGTTGTGATCTTAGCGGATTGTCAGCAAATAATTTTTGAAGTAGTTCACTGTGAATCGATACATCCAAAGGTTCAAAACTTAAGTCGTCCGCAGCCATCCGTTGAATATATGAATTTAATGCATATAATTCTTGAGGTGAAGGCTTCCAATTCTTTAAAGATTGATGTCCAGGACTGAATGAAATATCACATACGAATCCACCACTTTTTGGATTAAGTAAAGGGAGATTGATTACACGAACATTATGTTTTTCATGAAAAGCTGTTTCTAAAGTAGCAGCCAGAAGGAGTGTACATGATTGCCAAAATGCGTTATTTGCGATTGTTGGATCATAATGAGGATCCTATCAAATAAATATGAATAAAATAGTGAACAATTGTACTATATTATTGACGGGATCTAAACATTACGGATAGAGGTTGTTTATATCACAACTTTGCTGTTTTTCTACGGTTTTTAGGAATCATCCTGTCAGTATTATTTGTATGACTGTATTTATCTACAAAGTGATTCCACTTAGCATAAACGTAAAAACCAACTAGGAATGGATATTTATAGATGCATTTGTACCAGAGTTCTGACATTCATGACTACTGTTGTGAATGAGAACACGGGTGAGGACAACCAACTATGTATTTAGCGCAAATTACAACGTTACTTGGTAAAATACAAAAACCATGCTATGATACACTATTTGCAAAATGTTCTTCAATTGCCTCAGACTTCATTGTTCCTGGATTTCCACACAAATTGCTTTTTATTTCTGTTCTTCTCTTCTTGATCTTCTCAATCTTCTGCTGTCAGATATTCTATTCCTTACTCACCATATATACTACTTATATCGATATCAGTAGCTCACACCACACTCGTCCCCCCTTTTAATAAGCTGTTCTCGCAATCTTTCTGATCGCCGTACCATTGTCTCCTTTGGTGCTGTTCGTGACTCGTGCTCATGATGTTCCTGAAACCATCTCTGTAGTTGACTGGCATTTACACGCTTCTGCTTGTCTTCTCTCCGGATCGTGTAAACTGGGCCGCGTCTCTCCGTGATAATGTACGGTCCCTCCCATTTCGGGGTCAGCTTTCCTGACCCTGGTCCCCCTTCAGTGTTAGCTCTCCGTTCTCTACACTTTACCAGGTCCCCCACTCTAAAAGGCTTCCATGCTCTTCTCTGCTGTTCCACCTTCTTGGTGTCTGATATTTGTTTCTTTTTCACGTTCTTTATTGCCTCCGTCCTCTCTTTCCTTAATCTTGTTGCCGTCCACTTCTGCTGCTGTGGCCACGTCATATTATGCATCGGAAGTCGTGGCTGTCTACCATACATAAGTAGGAAAGGTGATTTCTTAGTTGTTCCTTGGATGGAGGCACGATGCGCCAGCAAAATTAGTGGTAACTCTTTCTCCCAATTCCCTCCTTTAGATGCTAACCATTCCTTTAATGTCCGGTTGTTTCTTTCCGTAAGCCCATTCGTCTGAGGGTGATACGGTGTAGTTCGTATCCTCTTGATACCGAACTGCTTCAAACGGGCCTTAAACTCGTCACTTTCAAAACAGGGACCCTGGTCGGTTAGTATCATCTTCGGTACTCCATGACCTGCTACAATGTGCCGGATTATTACTTCCGTCACTGTTTTCGCCCGCTGGTCGGCAATCGGTACAGCGTCGACCCATCGTGTAGCATGTTCCGTCATAACTAGTAAGTATCGGTTGCCGCTATCCGTCTGTGGAAATGGTCCCATCACATCTACCGACCATAGATCACCAACTGCGGTTACTGGGACCGACTGCAATGGCGGTTGCATGTATCTATCGCTTTTCATTAATTGGCACTGCTGGCACGTCAACACATATTGGGCCACATCGTCTCTCATGCCTGGCCAGTATGCACTTTGCCGTAGTAAATCTGTCGTTCTTGCGATACCAGTGTGCGCTACCTGATGACATTCGTGTATCATCTTACGCCGCCAGTCTTTCGGGATCACAGCCACCCAATTTTTGTCATCATCCTGCCAGACCAGAGCTCCATATGTGTTCACTTTCAGTCTTTCCTTTTGCCGAAGCAACATTATTGCCTCCTTGTCCATTGCTCGTTTGTCAAAATCTGCCCCCTCTCTTATCACTCTGATTACCTCTCGCAGTTTAGGATCAGATTTCTGTTGCCGGACGAGTTCTAGTGGGTCTCCCTCTATACTGTTCACTGCGTATGCTGTCAATGGAAGCTCGGCTTCCATGTCTGTTCTTGACAGATAGTCCGCCATCACATTTTCCTTCCCTGGAACATGCCCGATACTGAAGTCATACTCCTGCAGACGTATCATCCATCGCGCCAACTTCCCACGTGGGTCTCGTGCTGTTTGTAGCCACTGCAGAGGTTTATGGTCAGTCTCGATGTGAAATCGTTTACCTAACAGATATGGTCTCCACTTGTCTACTGCCCACACAATCGCTAAACACTCCTTTTCGATCGTTGAATACTTCTGTTCGGCAGGCGTGAGAATGCGACTTGCGTATTCCACTACTCTATCAGACTGACTTAAAACGGCACCTATACCATGGTCACTTGCGTCTGTTGTCACTGTAAACGGTTTCTCCAGTTCGGGCAGTCTGAGCGTCATCTGGCGGTCGTCCAGCATGTTTTTGATTTGATTAAACGTTTGTTGGGCGGTTTCAGTCCACGAAAATTTAGTGTTACTCAACAACTTATAAAGGGGTGCTGCTATTTCGTTGAAATTCTTGATGAACCGACTGTAGAACGCCGCCCTTCCCAGGAACTGTCTCAATTTCCTTTTCGAATTCGGTACTGCAACGTTCTTTATAGTCAGAATTTTCTCCGGCAGCGGTTTTATTTCTCCATTTCCCACTTTATGCCCCAACAACGTGATGCTACTTTTCGCCATCTGTGACTTGTCCTTATTAATTCGAAGTCCGAATTCTTCAATTCGCTTTAGGACCGCTTCCACATGCTTGACATGATCTGTTTCTGTCTGGCTGTATACGACTACATCGTCGCCATACACTTCGACGTTATCCAGATCCCTGAGCAGTAGCGACATTAATCTTCTGAACGTAAAAGGTGCGCCCGCCAATCCGAACGGCATTCGTCTAAATTGATATTGTTTATCACGTATGGTAAATGCTGTCTTGCTTCGATCGCTCTCTTTTATAGGCAGCTGCCAATAACCTGACCGCAAATCCAACACTGTAAACACCGTGGCATTCTGCAGCCGATCTAATGTTTCCACTACTGTTGGCATTGCACACGGCTTTAGTTCTGTTATATTATTCAGTTCTCTAAAATCAACACAAAATCTATATTTCCCATTCGGTTTCTTTACCAAGAGTACCGGTGAGCTATACGGGCTGTCCGCCTCCTCAATTATTCCTTCTTTCAGCATCTCTTGGACCTGTCGATTTACTTCAGCCTCTAAGTGCACAGGGACACGACGTGTTGTGAATATACTTCCTCCATTGTTCTTTATCGGGATTTCGTGCTTTACTTTGTCGCAAAATCCGTACGGTTCTCCTTCTCCAGTAAACAGTTTCGCATACTTTTTGCACAACTCGGTTATGTCTGGTTTCTTCGTCACAACGGCTGTTGCCACTCTAACCTCAGCCACCTCACTACTTTCATGTATTGAGAATGAACCGTACTTCGTGACCACCTTACCGCTTCTTAGGTCAACTATGGCTTTTACTTCTCTTAGGAAATCTGCTCCTAATATTGGTCTCGACAGGTTTGCGGTTACCACGAACGGAAAACTTATCTCCGAACCATCCACTTTTACGATACTGTTAGACACGCCCAATACCTCTAACATGTGCCCTCCTATAGTGTGAACTGCGACTTTACACGGCTTAAAACTTTTACATTGCTCTTTACCTATTAACGAAACTGCTGCCCCTGTATCGATTAGGCACACTAAATCTAGTTCATTTACGTTCACTCTTGCATAGACTGCCCCTCTATCTACTAATGCAACAACCCCCAGATCCCTAGAGTAAGAAGGAAACACGTAACGTCTAAAATATCTCCGTTTTCGTCGTGTTGGACAGTTTATCTTCCAGTGTCCTGTCCCTCCACATGCGAAACACTTATCATTCCTTTTTCGAATCACTCGTAATGCCGCAATCTCGTGCTGCAGTTCTTCAATCTTCTTCTCAATGCTGCTTATCTCCTGACTTCCGCACGCGACCGGAGCTACTGTTTGTGTCATCAACTGTCGCGTCACCTTTGCAAGCTCACTGATATCCATAGGTTGCGCGGCGTGTACCAGTCTCAGCTGCTGGGAAACGGCAACAGGCACGCTCTCGATAAACTGAGACGCCAACAACTGTGCCTCCGACTCCTCATCCAGATTTGGCAGCGCGCGACGCAGCAATTTGGTAAGCTCCACGGCCAGCACCAGCGGATCACCATCGATCGGCAACTTCGCCACTCGGAACTTCTGCAGTGCTTCCTCTCTGTCCACTGGGCTATCGAACTCCACGGTCAACCGCTCCGTGACTGCCTCCCATGTCGTCTTACCGCCCGCACCGTCCAGGCTGTCATATACAGCTTTCGCTCTGCCTCTCAGCAGCGTCCCCAGCACCACCGTCTTCGCCTTCGGCTCCTTCACCCCCACCAGCTCCGCCACAGCTTCGAACTCCTTCAGGAAGCTCAGCACATCCCCGTCCTCAAATTCCTTCGGCCATGGAATCTTCATCCCTGGAGGCAGCGACACCAAATGTTGTGAATGAGAACACGGGTGAGGACAACCAACTATGTATTTAGCGCAAATTACAACGTTACTTGGTAAAATACAAAAACCATGCTATGATACACTATTTGCAAAATGTTCTTCAATTGCCTCAGACTTCATTGTTCCTGGATTTCCACACAAATTGCTTTTTATTTCTGTTCTTCTCTTCTTGATCTTCTCAATCTTCTGCTGTCAGATATTCTATTCCTTACTCACCATATATACTACTTATATCGATATCAGTAGCTCACACCACACTACAACTGAATATCCTAAGTTCAGATACAAACTGGTTATCAATTATTTCATACTGGTTGCATAAGTTAGTGACCAGTAGCGGATTGGCGTTCAAAACGAAAGATACCATATTAGAGCATTTATATGGATGCCCAGACTGAGATCTAAGCATATCTTGCTAACGAATCCCAAAAATGACGAAATGTGAGTCCTGGGTTAAAATGCTAGCAACTTTTCAAACATATGCTGAAAAGGAAATATTTTTTACTTTCTTAGCCCCCGAATGATCTGGTACGGCCGAGAGTTAGAAGGTCACGCCCTTTCGAAATGCTCTCACAAGACCACAATATACAGCTTCTGCCAGGGAATTCCTACTCACTGCCTTCTCGTGGCGAGGGTGTTGTTTACGAAATTGAGAGGACGAAAAAAAATGTCCGGCTTTTTAACCAAGTCGATAGACACGGAAATTCCACCTAGGGGAGTTGGAAAACCCTGGTTCCAAACCAACGGTGCACATTTGTTTTATTTTACTTTATTTAAACACATAAAGATTGGTAAAAGAGCACCAGATAAATATGCGCCTCACAAATCTCATTTGATTTGTGTGAGGGCTGTGATACTGCCCAGACTGAAGCAAGTGGTTCTCTTAGGGGGTCACACCCGGAGCCTTTAACCTAAAGGTCTAGTCCACAAGGCAGTGGAGCATCGTGAGGAGATGCAGTCCCATAGTAGCCGGTGATCAATGATTGATTCGTACGCCATTTGTTCCTTCAGGATACTGGAGCCAATCTGCACCATTGGTTTGGAATCAGGGTTTTCCAACTCCCCTAGGTGGATCCTCCACATAGACCAACCCGGTTAAAGCGCCGGACATTCGCTTTTCGTCCTCTCAATTTCGTAAACAACACCCCCGCCACGAGAAGGCAGTGAGTAAGACTTCCTTGGCATAAGCTGTATACTGTGGTCTTGTGAGAGCATTTCGAGAGGGAAAGCGGACGCTCCCCACTCTCGGCCGTACCAAGGCATTTGGGGTCTTGAAGTGTTTTAGAGATGTGCAATCCGCAAATACAACTTATGAGAAAGGAAATCAATAACAATTTAATTTCCACATAAAATGACGATTTAAGGTTAACTTCCAGCACATTTTCGTCACACTTCTTTACCGACCTTCAATTACTCAGATAATACTAGTCATTGTGGCTTATATATAGCAGACTAACGTAAATGTACATTCAGTTTTACTGTGGACATCAGAAAGATTTCCACTAAGAAACAACTTCCCGTTCCAGTTAGCGGGGTGGAAAAGAAAAAGAGAAGTAGTATCGTCGGGTTTGTGAAAAATTAACCTAATGCACAAACTCATAAGAGCGAATTGAACATTTTCGTTTCTGTGGCATGAAAAATAAATAACCCTCTAACATAACGGGAACTATGATAGTTGCATGTAAACGTTCCTAAACAATTATGAAAAACTGGAACGAACCTTGAATTGAGCAAAATCAAGTGAGCAATCACATGACAATGGCCGATTCATATCCCATGGAGTATTGTTAACCATAGCAATAACGCTTTCTTTGACCAATATTTCAGACAAATGCTTTGCACAATCTAGAGGTGTTGATATACCTTTAGTCATTTCCAAAGTTGATTCCCCCAAAACTCCATGATATGTAACAATGACTTTCTCAACACGTGGTGACATGTAAAGGTTAGTTTGCTGCTCTTTAATTTCGTCCCACAATTGTAAACAATCAAGATGGCGTGAAATTTTAGACACTTCTTTATTCATACAGAGATTGCTACATAACCTAACATTCGGAAGCAATTTTTGTCTCCACATTTAGTATACGGTAGTTGGAGAATCTGAAACATTCAGAAAAACAACAACTACAGATATATGTAGGGGAATGAAAACATTAATGGCACGAAAAACTGAAATTCGCCCGATTCCACATTTAGAAGTTATAGAAGAATTACTTCACACCATAAGGTAATTTCATCATCAACTAATACATTCTTAGATAATGCAAATAGAAAACAAGAGGACTATGTGATATATTAGAGCAATACATTTTGAACAATTTGATAATATATTCACCTGTCAAGACATTTATATAAGAAAAATAAATGCCAAAATAGGCATATCGAGATACAGAGGTGATAATAATCAGAAACAATATGAATCACGGCATTTTGGATGATAAGTTATTGTTATCAGCATGCATTTAGTATCAGTAAAAGTTATCTTTGTACATAGGTAGGCTTCTGTATGGCTAATGCTTTAAAAAACCCAAGATAACTTCTACATAAAGTCAAGTACGCTGAGCTAAAACCTGTCTTATAACCTATTTTAATCATGAGTTAGGCAATGGAAGATCTGTGTTTGTCATCTACCTGTTTTTTTATTCATTTATTTGGACATAAATAATGAGACAAATGGGCACCTAGATAATACACGCTGCACAATAAGAAAACGACATCGTGAAGAGATAGAGGAAGGTGAGTATAATGAAAAAACGACATATGGATAAAAATGAGTGAGTAGTGAATAATGGGAGGCAAAGTTCAGTTTAAAAAAATACAACCGCAAAGAATCCAAACAGTTAAGGTCTTATAAAAAAGTAAAAGAAAACTGCAACAGGACTGCCACTGACTTCTTTTCTGAACTGTCTGATAACGTCTCAGGCCACTGAGTTGGGCCCGTCTTTAGAATCCTAACCAGGAAGCTGTGAAAGACCGATAGGTGTCAGTCTTTTATAACTTTATTTCATGTCCTGTACTGTGTCCACCATCCCGGTGGTAGTTGAACACGCGTCACAATAGCTGCAAAAACATGGGGTCAAATGCCAAAATGTATGAGTTCAAATATATGCTATAATAAAGCATCCCTCATCAGAGACATAAGAAGCCTACTATCGATTCAATTGAGGATAAACCTTTCCGTTTTATAACGAATGCATTGAAACCCTCCAATATTGGGCAATGCTTAATTTTACGCCGGAGCTTAGTGTGTTCTAAAACGAAACCATCAACTGAGTAGATTAGGCCATAATGGATCAAACATAGTGAATATATAACTTTTAAAAGTGGGTTCACAACTAGTTTCACTATCAAATGGATTGAAATCCAAGCTATCTTTAATATATAGTACTTTACTTTCGTATAATTTATTCTAATTACTTCCTAAGTAGTTGCAACCTAAAGTTCGGGAGTAATATCAATCACACACTAAGTTTCAGTAACAGAGGTGATGAATGCTTTTGTTACATTTGATGAAATTTGTTTTATAAATTACGAGGATTAGTCAACAAAACTTCCAAAAAGAACTAATTCGTACAATCCTTAGTAACATCGGGTTATGAGACCGTACTACTTAGAAATCCCGAATTCTCCATACTTTTCTCCCAAGATTTCGTTAGGTTACTAGCTCACCAAAAGCCTCTTCAGACGATCATTGAGTGACCAGTCCGACCGATCACGTTTTTTTAATAAGCCTTGTGTGCATTTTTTTAGCATTATACTTCCATCCTATGTACTACCTAAAATTAACTTCAAAATTATACTAGGTCTAATTGTATAGATGTGTTGACTTATGTACCAACAGAAACTGTCATCAAATTTTCCTGCTTATCGACATACTTCGCAGTGCTAATCTTAGTAACATTGATAAACGAAATAGCGTCGAATATAAAGTAATATGCATCTGAGTAACATTGCGGATAAAGCAGTAAGCAAACAGCTTTACTGAACCTTATATATGCAGTTTGTGTGAGATTTGTGTGAATCTTGTGTCAAAACCATAGAGCAACAACAATCCATACTCCGGTGGACATATTTGCAGCATGAGCCATCTGCAAAAAGGAATGTGCTTTAAGGAGTGCAGTAAAAGATGTGAAAACTTGTTACTATTTATCACAACTTAACTCACTAGAACTCAATGAAAGCAAGAAGGATGGGATGTGATATGTAATCAAGACCAAAGTCAACAAGGTTGCACAATCACTGAAATGACACCATTGGCGCATATGTATCCGGTGTCCTTTGTATCAATATGTATGTGATTAAATAAAAATTCTACTTTAAATAGCACCTCAAGACACACGTTAACAACTTTCAGAAGAGTGAACTCAAAAATCAGTGTAGTTCTTGTAAACCAAATATTTTAGTTCTAGTTGCAATGATATCATTAAAAAACAATGCTTAGCCAGTAAATAAGTCGACAGTAGATACGGCATCACTTCTGTGTGGTGGGTAGCTATTTTAATTACTGTACATTTCAATCGCTTTATCATTATTTGTCTCAACCTACTATAATTCTATATAATACTACACTGCCTACTCATTTCTTATTGCTGTTTTTGTTACTGCGTCGACGTCATAATTACTTAAAAAACTTTATACTGTGTTGGGCTTATCCTGAATCCTAATAATCTCAGAACCCGACACACCAAAGTGTTATCTCATAATCATGATGGTGCACGATACAAATTATTTCATGTTCAGAATCAAGGATTTAATTCTACAACTTAAACTAAGGCTTCTAAGTGTAATATTCGTGGGCAGTTGCATAATGAACTCATTATTTGTCCAATCGCTTGCATGAATGATCCCGAGCTTAGGAAGTAGCTTATTCAGAGATACCTTCAACTGTTGAGACGTTGTTAATCGACCTACCGCGATGAAACCTGATGTGCTATTGTCGTGTATAACTAAATCTTATGCTCCCGATGCAAAATGTGAAAAAAAACTGAATACTACCACTCGGATTATTAAAAATCTGAGACGTTAACGACGAATGCTTCAGCAATGTTGTCTACTACATACGAAAGAAAACTTATTACTCGGCCGAAAATCCGATTTAAATTTGACACTACTTAACAGACTTCATGAGCCTAAACGATTTCTTCTAAGAAATGTCTCAGAAGAAATTTGAGACTTCAATGGAGTGTTAGATTTATTTACACCCGACAATAGCAAATCATGTTTCATCGTCCCAAGCAATCAATAAAGGTGGGAAAAGGAGAAATGAAGCGGACGAAAGTGTAAATAAACGGAAAAATTAATTTCCCCATATTACGTAACAGGTTCATTATTAAGAGTTTGATAATTGAGAACGCATGGGAGAGTCCATAATTATTTCCGTATTTATAACCAATGATTTATTTGAACCAGAAAACTGACAAGCCGGGAAGTAATGTACTGAATAAGGTCGTGCAATTCGAAATTCCGCCTACGATCAAATAGATCAAAGAAGTGTAATTACTTCATACATCATGTAATATCCAGAAATAGCATTGGGTCTGTTAGGAAAGTTCCGTTCGCCATTTTCAAAAATATTATTCGTGAAAGTGCACTGTAATGACTTTATCTAGGTCATAACATCCTTGAAGGACATTCTACACTACTGTAGCTGTAAATAATCCGTTGCATCCTCATTGGTGAACCCGACGTGATCTGGTACACCAAGTCAATATACTGTGAGTCTGTTCCATTTTGGAATATTATTATTCATTGTTATTCTTTATTTTAATTTTATTTATTGTGATTTACTTTTTTTCGCGAATTTTTTTTTCCGGATATATTTTAATTAGACATTTTTCGTTATCTATATTACTATGACGGAACACTCTCCTAAGTTTCTTAAGTTTAAGTCTATTCCCCCTATTTCGATTCAGTTAACGCCATTTTGGCCCGACAATATCGAGTCCTGGTTCTGCTATGCAGAAGCCGATATTTGCATGCACTGAATCACGGACTCACGCACACGTTTCCTCGCGGTAGTTAAGGCGTTACCGCGCGAGTTTAACAGGTACGTAACACCTAGTATGTTTACTAGTGATGTTTCCGAACCTTACGAATCGCTTAAGCTATCGATTTTAAAACGAGGAGACCTAACTGATTGACTACGGTTAGACCAACTCCTTAACAATATCGACTTGCAACATGGTTCTGCGACGGACATGTTGCTTAGAATGAGAGAAGTCATCGGCCAACGAACTTTCGATGATGGCCTATTTAGACAACTTTTCTTGTCTAAACTCCCTCAACAGGTGCAGGCAGTGTTTGTTTCATTTCAAAACAATGCCATAGATGAACTAGCTGCATCTGCCGATCGAATCTTGGAAATCACTAGATCTTCTAAGGCCGAGGTTTTTTCCGTCAAAGAAAAACCTCGATCGACCCCGTCTGACATAACCGAACTATGTCACACGCTTACACGATATCTTAGAGTTCGCAATGTCCGTAGTCGGTCAAAAACCCCGCGTAGAAGCGTTTCACGTAAGCGATCTGGCTCTCGACCGCGAGAGACAAACAATCCCGACCAGTACGGTAAGTTTTCCGGAAATTGCAGGAAACCTTGCAATTATCCGACCCCAAAATCGAGTGACACGAAAAACAGTTCGGGAAACTTCCCAGCCGGCACGCGTTAACGGCAACCGTAGCCGGCGAACACAGCCGCCCCTTATATGTCACTGATGTGACCACGAAAATTCGCTATCTTGTCGACACCGGCGCAGAAGTTAGCGTTCTTCCGGCGAGTCCTAACGACAGACTTCGGGAGTCTGTTTTAAGTTTATAGGCGGCAAACGGAAAGCCGATCGCTACTTACGGTAAAAGGTACGTCTACCTTAACGTGGGTTCACGCAAACCCATACACTGGATTTTCGTGGTTGCAGATTTCTCTATGCCAATCATTGGTATAGACCTGTTACAACACCACAATCTACTCATCGACACACGCTCACGAAAGTTAATAGACGGAAACACTAAGTTATCTGTTTGCGTAACTCCTTGTTCTGGTTGCAGGTTATTTCCAGTCACGATTAAGCACACCATAGACCCTTCGTACCAATCAGTACTCAACAAATACCCCGGGATATACCAATCGCAATCGAAATTGCCTTGTGTAACCAGCAATGTTACACATCACAGCTCGACTACAGGACCACCTGTATTCCCGAAAGCTCGCCTACTGGCTCCCGAAAAGCTGAGGTTAGCCAAAAACGAATTCGACCATATGATAAACTTAGGGATAATTCGACCGTCAAATAGTCCATGGGCATCCCCATTGCACATGGTCCCTAAAAAGGACAGCAATGATTGGCGGCCAACTGGTGATTATCGGCGTCTGAACGCAAAAACCATTCCCGATCGTTACCCGTTGCCTCATATTTACGATTTGACAGCTACCTTGAAAGGTACAACTGTCTTTTCGAAAATCGACTTGGTTAAGGCTTATAACCAAATCCCACAATAATAACAATAATAATATAATCGATCGACTCCAATGGCATGGCATTACTGTCAACATTCAGAAATGCCAAATCGGAACCAACTCCTTAGACTTCCTAGGACACACCATTGATGCCCAAGGCATCCGACCACTTAGGAGCAAAGTGGCGGCCATTCTGGATTACCCAGAACCAACCACGATCAAGCACCTAAGAATTTTCAACGGACTTGTAAGTTTCCATAGACGGTTCATACCCGAATGCGCATCCCTTATGAAACCGTTAACCGATCAGCTTCGTGGAAATGCGAAATCAATCAGTTTAGACGACATAGCCCGTAAAGCATTTTTCACAGTTAAGGAACACATCGCTAAAGCAACCTTGCTTGCTCGTCAGGACACTCAAGCGCCCATTAGTATCGCCGTAGACGCATCCGACTCAGCAATCGGAGCAGTCTTACAACAATGGGTTAACAACTCATGGCAACCTTTAGGATTTAGGACGGTTGCTAGACGCTGAATCTAGGTACAGCACCTTCGGTAGGGAACTCCTAGCTATGTATTGTGCTGTACGGCATTTCCAACATTCCATCGAAGGAAGAGAATTCACGCTTTTTACCGATCACAAACCTCTTACATTCTCCTTAAGTTCATCTTCAGACAAGTACTCACCGCGAGAGTCTCGACAACTCGACTACATTTCAAAGTTTACTTCAGACATACAACATATTTCTGGAGCTAACAATGTAGTCGCAGACGCCTTGTCTCGAATAAGTTCCTTGAACAGTTTCCAAGGAATCGACCTTCTTAAACTCGCTCAGCTTCAAAAAGAAGACATTGATCTTCAGCATGAGTTATCCTCGACAACTCTAAAACTAAGTATTAAGCAGATGGGAACAGGTAAGGAAACCTTACTCTGTGACACATCGACAAGAAAGGGATCGTCCAATAGTACCAAAACATTATCGCTCGATGGCCAGAAGCAGTACCGGTTAAGGACATTACTGCTGAAACTGTGGCTCGCGCTTTCGTCGAACGATGGGTAGCAAATTTCGGTTGCACCTCAACCATCACTACAGACCGCAGACGCCAGTTCGAATCTGGATTTTTCCGTTGTCTCACTTCACTATTAAAAATCACGCGCTTCCGAACGACCGCCTACCACCCACAAGCAAACGGGTTGGTAGAACGTTTTCATCGACAACTAAAAGCTTCATTATCAGCTTCAAATGTTTCACAGTGGACAAACGCTCTTCCACTCATCTTGCTAGGTACCCGCAATGCAGTGAAAGCTGACATTAGATACACTGCATCTCAACTCGTTTACGGAACGACACTCCTACTCCCAGGAGAATTCGTGGATCCTTCAGCTTTTTCATTGAACATGGATCTAAACTCTTACACCAGTAGGCTTACAAACGCTATGCGTTCAGTTAAACCTGCTCACACTCGACCTCAATCAACTGATGTTTTCGTTGAACCCGAATTACGACATAGTACACACGTCTTCGTTCGTCGAGACTCACATCGACGACCCCTCGAATCAGCATGCGAAGGACCCTTCAAAGTTCTTCAACGCGAACCTAAGTACTATGTAGTCGATAAAAACGGTACGAACGATAGCATCAGTATCGATCGACTCAAAGCAACGAACTTAGAGGGAAACCCTGTCTACGTCGATTTTCCATCGGTACAAGCAAACGACACAGCCACTACACTCGTAGTACCCTACACGACAACCGACACACAACTTGATACTTCGTCAACATCGATAGATAAACCTAAAGCAACGCGTTCTGGAAGACGAGTAAGATTTCCAGAACATCTTAATGAATATTGCACGTAGGATGTAAGTTTTATCATGAATTACCCTTTCATAGTTTATTATAAAAAATTTTTTAATATGCTCATTTTTTTATTTATATAAAAAAGCAAAACATTATTATTTTTTGAGAATATATATATTTTTTTATATATAAAAAAACAAAACAAACAAACCCATTTTTTTTCCGATCGCATTTACGCTGTTTGTAAGTGTATTAGTTTATTTTTTTTTCCTGCTCATCTTGTGTCTTTAAGCAAGTACGAGTGTATTTTCGACATCCACTCACACGTTTTATTTTTCCTCCTTTCCAGGACGGCTGGAAAAAAACGACGAAGTTTTACAAGGAACCGAAATTTTCATTGTACTATATTTCTTTATTGCTATGTTGTGCATTTTGGTCCCATAGTTTAAGGAAAGACGACCAGACGCTGCTAAACGAAACAAGCTATCAAAAGAGTGTTTACCAACGACAAACTCGTTGTGTTTAAACTTCTGGCTGGTCACGTCTTACGGGCATCACTACCTCACTAGGGGGGGAGTGATCTGTAGCTGTAAATAATTCCCCAAAATCAATAGCTCATTAAGTGTTCGACATTGGATGCTGACCACGTTGTTTAAGTGAACTTGTTTAGCTGAAGGCTTTCGGTCATGCATTCGTACCAGATCACGTTTCAACTCGGCGTGGGACACAGCTCCTACGCTCATTAGCCAGCTTATAGTAAAGGTTCCTCGATATATTGGTAACGCATCAAATATATCTTTCCTACCTCTTCTCGTCTGACTTCTGATTTCTATCTGACTGGGAACGATCGAATATAGAAGGTGCTACTGGTAGCTAGTTGTAAAACTAGATCATCCGTTGCATCCTCACTACATTGGAGTTTCGGCGTGGATTATTATTGAATAGTACTGTCAAGTTTTATCTTTCTTAATCATAACGTCGGTGACACCATGTGCAGAGGAACCTTCGTTTATTAGGTGAATCTACGGAATTGTGGTCTACTTCGGTAATAGTATTACTACAATAATAGACCTAATACCATGATATGACTGCCTCAACTAGAAGATCTAACGTACCATGACATTTCAAATGCTTCTTCAAATGTCCACCATACCCAATACCCCGAAGTGCTACATGATGAATGTCAATCTCTTCGGCAACTATATGTCAAGTTTCGGGGATCATTTGTTTGGAACCAATACCACTTAAAGCTCACATGAGGTTTTTTATCGTGCAAAGGATTTGCATGTATCATTCCTTTCATAAGAATCGTTATCATTTCGCCATTTTTATATACCATTTTGTCGTGAGTGTTATTTGTTACCGTTTGGCTTTGCTCACAAACAGACATAAGTCTGTGGTGTTAATCGCTTTTGGCACATCATTAGTAACTGTATGTATTATCATACCTTGAATAAGCTCTTTTACTAGGATCCACCACACACGTATCGGTTAAATATGACGACATCGAGCCTAAAAAATTTAGGCACATATCACTGCTTCTGAAGTTATCGAGCATTGCAAAACTGCAGTTGGCTACATCCTTCAAAGTTCCTGTCGTAAATAGTGCTAATCCTTTTCGATATGCTTGCTGTGGTCGTCAGCAATCAGTAAGACGTAAGACTATAACTACTCAATCTCTATAGACTGAAATTGATCTCAATGACTTTTAACGGAAACTGGTGAATTTTTCCAAATACATTGGTTAAATGGGTTGCAATGCATAAAGCTTTCGGTAAAATGGCTTCAGATGATCTATGTCTAAGAACATTTTGATAAATAGTGTTTACTCAATACTATATATTTTCATCTGTACACTGTGTACTGCCTTAACAAACTGCTGAGATCGTCGTTTCTTATGAGTGTGAAGATAACCGTTTTTCGGCTTTTCCAATGGAACAAAGCTAACATGACTCGGTTAAAAAGATGAATGCAAGACTGTAGATAGAAAATTTATTGATCCACAAGTTCTCAAAATGATGTCTGATATTGTTATGAGATATATATTATTTTATGTACCTAGTCGGTCTGTAAGTTCGGACTTATTGCGCTGGGATCAATGCACATCACTTAACAGTTCGACGTATGTTTGCATTGTACAGGATCAATTAAATAACTGTCTGAAACAACAAATAATGAAGTTATTGAAACCCCTGAACCTCGTTACTTCTATGGAACTGAATATCTTAGCTACTCAAATCCTTGATTAAATATATCAAAGCAACTGGATTTCTGAAAATTCCGGTCACTACCGTATCGAACAATGTTTCTGCTAACTTTCACAGGAAAAATGCAAACTAACACCCCTTGTAATCAAATTATTGAAAGAAATGGATATTTCCGTCAGGTAAGAAATACGGTTGGTCTTAGTTTAAACCTACTTAGTTCGCTCATTCAATTTCCATAGCTTCATTGTAATCACCCAGTTTTTGTTCACTGGCAGTTTCCGAACACTTATATAAATGAAGTGCTTTGGGTTTGAAGATACCACAGGTATTCGGAGTTTGACAACGCTTTAACCAGTAACACCTATTATGAATCGTGTCCACTCAGTGAAATCAAAAGACAGGAGCGAGGAGGTCCGAAGATATATTTGATAGATTATCAATATATTGAGAAGTGACTGATCTAAACTGACGAGTGATCGTAGGAGAAGCTGAGCACGGCGTTCCCACTCGTGATCTAGTGCGGATGCATGACCGAGCACCTTCAGCTAGGTGATTCTGTTAAAACCAATGTGATCAGCAACCAATATCGAACACTGACATAGCTATTGATTTTTGGGAAATATTTTGACGGCTACAGATTCATTACCGATGCGATTCCGTCTACTTACGATAGCGTTTCACTCTACTTGGTTATACCACATTTATTTCTAGTTGATTGTTATTCATTACTCGTCATTAATAGTTGTAGTTGTCCAGTTTAGCCATCCTTTTTGTCTCAACAAGTACAGCTGTCATTTAACGTCCTTCGATTTATGGATAACTGCAAAGTCAAACTAGTCGTTAGATCACAACCAACAAACGTAATTCAGTGTGAAGGGGATTGATTGATTCCCCGATCTCAAGATAGCCGATCAAGTATGCACAATCAATGTAACTGCCCTAAAGTGATAGATCAATTCACACAAAACTGCAGTTAGTGAGGAGCCACAGAAGGAGAAGCAATATGATTGAAGGAACACAAATTTGGGTGAATGTGAGTAATAAATGAGTCTTAGATCAAAAGTCGAACATAATTTGGGGGAACAGTAAGAGGTAACGTTATATAAGAAAGAAAAAGATGTTAGCGTCACATGAAACAGATGAAGCATCGTTCCACTAACTTATTATTCTTTTCTCAAATACTGTCTTCTGATTAACTTCGGTGGTTGATGGTGATCATGCTTTCACTTGTTATTTCTCACCACCAACCAGCAGGTAAGATTTTACATGACCACGTTTATATATAATAGACTGATTAGCTCAAGCATGCGAATATAAACAATTTATTGTCATCATTATCTGTGTTTATCAATAAATTTTGAATTAATATAATAAACGTTTTTAGGTATCTGTCCGTGATCTTCCTTAATTCTCAAGAATCAAAATATAATCCCATATGAAGTCGAGTGACAAAGGACGCTAGCACCACCGATATCCTAATCTGACATTCATTTGCAGTTAGCTGACAATTTGTAGTTTCTTCAAGTGAGCAATTCACCACAATTAAGGTATCTAGCACTGAATAATGACTCAATATATCTCTCTTATTCAGTTGATACGAATTATTTGTGTGAATATTAAAAACCTGACTTTTATGAATGGTTTAAATTCTATATTTGTATGTTTAGAAATCTATGTAAGTCCATCAACAATTAGTTTCAAAAAGTGTAGACTCAACCAGATATGTTCGTGTTGAGTAGTACGTCGTGACCGCAAGTCATAAATTCCCTGACGAATGACACTCTTACATTATATTTTGGACCAGTTTGTTATACTATGCTAAGCTATTCATGCACACTGACGAACTTATACATATAGAAACATTTTTATTGATAAAAACTCAGGCACTATGTCTCCCTAATCTGGAGCGATATCTTCACTTACACAAGTCGTTACTGAACTGTAAGTTCACGTATGTTATGAAAACCCCAAGCCCTTTATCATGAGTTTAACTGTGTTGTCAATCTACGATTTTCAATCTACAATAGATAAGACTGTAAAACCGAAGTGAACTTGTTTGCAAACAAGCCACTTATCTATCCTATTCAATGGGCTTCAGTCTGTTAATCACTTAAACTGTTCTTCTTTACTTGATGAAAATGGAATTCAGCATTTCCGCTACAACAGTTTCTTCTGGGTTTGATTCTTCAGCAAAAACTACTTGAACATTAGGATTAATTTAAAAAGCGAGGTCCAGAATTATTAATATGCTATATAAATTGTCATTATCTTTGATTCCCATTTAGATGAAACCCACATGTGCTGGAATATTAACCCAGTTTAAGCGAGCGTTCGTAGATTGATAACTTAGTACTTTTGCACACAAGAATTGATCTATACCATACATCACGGAAGAATTCTTGTTACTTATAGTGTTATTATTATTAGGTAAGGCCGTAAAATTGTTGTCTAGGTCTATGCTATTAGAATAATCGAAGTGAACTCGAGATCATAGATTCGCGTGGAAGTCACATAATTATCTATGCTGACTTGTCCAGTCGTATCAGAGAACGATTTGTATTGAGGACTTACGGAGAATAAATTTGAGGTGTCTGAATAATAGTGGAGTTAATAAGAGAAGCAAGAGGTTACATAGGGTGACAGCGCATGCATCGCCGTTTCATGCTATACCGATCAAGTATGTTTTACATTCACTACTCCCGACCTCTAAGTGTTTGAAGATACGACCAGTATTCTAGTTTTGCAACTAGCAACCAGTAACACCTTTATTCGAATCGTCCCCAAATTAGATAAAACCAGAAATCAAATGCGAAAAGGTAGGAAAGATATATTTGATGCGTTATCAATATATCGAGAAGCGTTTGCTCTAATCTGGCTATTGAACGTAGAAGCTGTGTCCCACGCTGGGTCGTAACGTTATCTGGTGCATGACCAAATGCCTTCATTTAAACAAGTCCACTTAAAACAATTTGGTCAGCATCAAATGTCCAACACTTAAATAGCTGGTGATTTCGGGGAATTATTTACAGCTACATGTTAAATGTTGAATGCAAACCTTTATAGATGTCGTACATTAAGCTTTAAAGATGGCGTGGTTCGTAACCCATATCACTTTAAGACCATCCTGGCAAGGAAAGTTTATGTTGTAATAGGGAGAGTTGTCTTACTGATTTCGGAAACCAATGGATGGACGCATTTACATAATACACCACAAGGTTTAAATTACCAACGAAACTCGGTTCAGCGCCTTCACACTCTGAAGACGCATTATAATTTACGCATTTTTCTACCAGTCGTATTGGCGGCCTCCCGGCTACCATCTTTAATACACTTCAACTAATATCCTAGGTTCATGGACATTAGACTGTTCCTAGACGTCATTCACAGGAGACTCAGTAAGAAGTTTGGAGTCTAGTGATCACTCTTCAGGAGCATGAATGGATTCAGTAAGATTCGGTAATTCAGTAAGACCAAAGCGATACTCCCCACACTGTACTAATAAAATTTCAACATATGAAGGTCCAAAACTGAAGAACTGCAAGCTCGGTTATTATGTAATACAAATTTTTAACTGTTGAGGCTATGAGATTCTGGCAGAAATAGCTTTAAAACATTAATGAACATATAGGAAATAGTCACACAACACAAGTAGGATGCTACCGGGTTGCATCAGTTTGTTATAATAAATAAAAGTCAATTTACTTCCTTGGACAAACGAATAGCGGCAATATAAATGCACATTGGAATTACGAGCCGTTGCTTTTCAAATCAATTAATAACCCATGATTCTATTCAAATCATGTTTCAAAATACACTGAAAGGGTTTTCTCAAGCGCCTTTGAAGTTCAGTTAAACGACATCTTTGTGAACGCCAATAAATAAATTGTAGAAATAATTTATTTTGAATAACATTTTTAATATCACGCGTTATGATTAAAAAGCTGAAAACCATTGCGATTAAACTTGGAATTAGGCGTCCTCCTCAGCCTGTACAACGATTCATACCTGTAGGCGCAATCTCAAAAGAGATTTTTCCAGTTGAAGGATATCCCTTGAGGAAACTTTATGGTAGGAATAAAGTCACAACCACAAAATACACATGGTATAGTTTCTTTTTTCAAAATCTTGGGGAACAAGCCCAGAGAATCGCGAACTTCTATTTTATCAGTCTTGCTATCATCCAGTTGTTCACAGACTCTCCCGTATCTCCAACTACATCGATAATTCCATTATTTTTTGTGCTATCAGTGACTATGATCAAACAAGGCTACGAAGACTTTCTGCGACTTAAGGCAGATAGAGAGATAAATCATATTCCTATCGAGATAGTTACTGAGAATGGTCATCTAACAACTGTAAAATCTATGGAACTTGAAGTTGGAAACATAATCTTATGCAGAAATAACTCCTCATTTCCTTGTGATATGATCTTGCTAAGTTCAAGCGAACCCAGTGGAGAATGTTTCGTTACAACTGCGAGTTTAGATGGCGAGACAAACTTGAAAAAATTTGAGGTGGCTGGTCATACAAATAAATTTGATACACCAGAGTCGCTTGCTTCTGAACTAAAAGGTTACATAATTTGTCAACAACCGGTAGAAGATCTATATACCTTTAGTGGCCGTATTTGCCTGAAGAACTCAATTGAAGATACGGCCACTAAAGATTATCCACTTGGACCTAAAAATCTACTACTGAGAGGAGCATGTCTTCGTAATACTGATTATGTATATGGTTGTGCTGTCTATACGGGCCGTGATACAAAATTGGCCCTAAATTCAAAGGGAAAAACTACGAAATTTTCACAAGTTGAAGGAAGGCTCAACTTTTACCTCTTCTTCATTTTGGCATTTCTGGCTTTTAGTGTGATCGTCTCCATTATTCTGAGTTTAGTTCTAGGCCATCCGAACGCCTGGTACCTACCACCAGAAAGGAGGAATGCTTGGAACGTTTTTCAAGAACTTTTAGGATTCGTTGTTTTATACAATTATATAATCCCGATTTCCTTGTATGTTACAATAGAAATGCAAAAATTTATTGGTTCCTTATTTTTTGAATGGGATTTAAACTTATATGACGAGAGGATAAATGAAAGAGCTAAAGCTAACACTTCAGATCTAATTGAAGAAATGGGTCAGGTAAGCGAAGGTTTTCACCAAATAACAATGCTGATTTTATGCTAATTGAGGAGTGTTTTATTTTTTCATCAAACTTTTTATATTATAAACTGAAATCAATTAGAAGGATAGTAAACACACTGATGTGCTACGATCAAATGAAGTTCCTCATGGAGAATGTTTAATCCAACACCAGACTATTAAGCAGATACTTAGTTCGAATTATATTGTCCTTAAAATTGCTTTTACAAACTATGGTTAGGAATTAGGGGTTACATGGTGGTTAACTGTTTTACCTGCTACAAAGCAAATACTTGGTATAAATCTGGTTTATAAAGTGACCAGACAGTTGAAGAGTAACAGTTATATCCAGTAGGATGTTAGTACCTTATTTTCAGTTGAAAATGGCCCTTCATAAAAAAATGAACTGATCACCCAAAAATAAATGCTTTCATTTGGCAAAATCTAGATAGGTTACTTGTGTATGCTATTTTGACAATACCTGATAAGTTCAAAGAATGTGATCATATGTCTCAAAATAATGGAAGGATTTAATTGATTTCTATTGAATTTGTTAATATGTTTTGAGTTTCAAACTTATCTCAACGTCAATGGTTTTGTGTGTTTTTGTTTAATATAAATAATAAAAAATCTTCCCAAAAATGAACAAATTAGTGTACTTTAGTGCTGCTGAGTAAGACGTTTCCTACCTATATTGACTAAATATTAATTATAAGTCCACGTGTTATGATTTTTTTCCAAGTATTCAAACAATAGGTACATAAATCGTACTGTATTTTCGACATACTCCAAAGAGATAAAAATAATTATTTTATACTATCAGTTTGTTTTTAATTTCAATATTAGGGCAAAAAGCATATAAAACTGCGAAACATGGCCATTAAGAGTAGAAGATACTCGTAGGTTACTAGTATTTGACCACAGATGCCTTAGAAATATTGCTCGCATCTGCTGGGATCACCGAGTAAGTAATAGTGAGGTTAGACGCAGGGTATTAGGTAACGATGGTAAATCAGTTGATGAGGTCATGAATCTTCATCGACTGAGATGGTTGGGCCATGTGTTACGTATGCCTGAACACCGATTACCACGACGCGCTATGATGACTAGTATTGGGGACGGTTGGAAGAGAGTTAGGGGCGGCCAAACCAAAACATGGCATCAGTGTTTGAAGTCACTAACTTCTAGCCTGAGCCATGTTGGCAGATGCAGACTACCTGGTTGGGGTCCGCGTGACTATCGTAATAAATGGTTGGAGACTCTAGGTGACATGGCTCAGAATCGATCACAATGGCGTAGGTGTATACACTCTTTATCTTCCCTTAAACCTCGAGATTAAGATTGCTTCATAACTTTTTTTCTTCCTATACTATATCCTTCTATACAATCTTTCTTTATATACTACCACCACTAAATTAATTGCTTCTATGAATCCGTTGTTCATCTTGATGTGCTAAAGAGGTATGGCAACTTGGACCGATGCATATATGTGCCTGGTCCTACGTTGTAGCTGGCTGACTGACTGATTTTCAAGTATAGTTGAAGTTACATCACTATACTTGTCCATTTTCAACAATTTTATGAATTATATACTGCTAAGATCAGATTATTCGAAATGTGTTTCGCTAATATATCACGTAGGTTTGGAAATCTTCGTCTTCTTATTGAACTATCCAAACTTATCAAAAGGACTAACTGCTTCAAGATTTAATGTCACAACGCGCAAATACTATAACCTACACTACTGACAGCAATTAGAACATATTAAGGCTTTCTCTACTTCTTTTCATAATGTTTTGCTTTTTTTTAATCTGTGATATGAAAACATCTTTGGGTGAATTTACTGCTTTTTCAAAGTAGGTAATATAATTATCGTTTCTGTAAAATACTATAAAATCACATTAGTACAAGCAGAAATATATCTTCACCATTAATTTAAGACGATAATTTCTAAAAATTAGGCCATTTAGTGAGGAATTGTGCAGAAAGTTTGGAAAGACATAATCCTTAGCTTTTTTCATGTATTTTGTTTATGACCAAATCGTTTCTGTAGCCGTTAAGGTCAACCTTAACTTATATTCTCACCATGAATCACTGGTATATTCAGAACACTAGAAGTTCATGGGCTAGACACATTAACTACCAGTCAGTATTTTTTGAAATCTTGTGGAAAATATGCAAAACTGAGCTTATGAAACTTGAATAATACTGACTAAGTATCTGATTGTTCATTCATATACAATCAGTGTTACGTCTTACCAACATATGTTATTTTCTACTTGTTAAACTGTTTGAAATACATATAACATTATTCATATCCCTATGATTGTCCATGTAGTAAGCTTTGAGTTAATTTTTATTCAGAAATTTTATCAAGTCCCTTTATTCACTTAGTTATGACTGAAAAACAATTAACATCTTAAATATTGTTGTACGCTTGTATATGTCACACATAAAATCCGGTCATAATACACTTCTCAGCATATTGCGTTGTTCTACTAAAGACTTTGGTACGTTTATCCGTCAGATACTTGTTACGTTGGAAACGAGAGATTAATCTTAAAATGGGGTGACTCAATTGTAGTTTCTGTCTATATATATATATATATTTTTCAGGCTTATAGTCCATATCTTGGTATATAATGTACAAAATGTTCATCATTACTTTTCTAAAATGAATACAACATTACTGTACAAAGAAAATTATCAAATATATAACTAAATTCATGTCAAAAAGGCATCGAAAACTTAAGGAATAAACAGAGAGTTAAGCTAAGAAAAGTTTCCTTTCGTCGGTATCATATGCGATAGCTGAAAGTTCTATTTGTAATGATTCAATAAATATCCGAGCCTATAGTGTTACAGGAAAATAAACATCACAAAAAATTGGGAATCCCAAGCATCAGAGGGCTGCTGTGTAATAATCTAAGGCTAAGTGAAACTGATGAAGCTTGAAATTAGTTCATTGGTCTAAAACGCAAGAGATAGTTGTTTACTTAACAAGTATAAAGAAGAAATGAAAAATGTAAAAGCGATAGTAGCAGTTAAATGATAATTACCAGAAATACGGCAATAGAATAATTACAATGGGTTACAAATTAAAGAAACGAGATATAATGCTTAAAAAAAACATACTGAAGGTAGTTCTAGTGTAATGGACGCTACTCAAAAATTGTAAGTAGTATGCAGCGGGATGTGGCGTCGAAGTTACAACAATTTCCTGGCAGAGTGAAGAAGTTCAGTACATAAAAAGCACAGCCTTAGCAGAACACTTGAAGGTGAGATGACAAGACGTTTCAGATGGCAGAACACACCGAAATATGTAAACTGACGATTGAATGATATATATATATATATATATATATATATATATATATATATATATGTTAATTTCATATGCAGAGTTCAGGTTTGAAATGATAGATTCCCCACGCCTCAGAAGTGCACAACCTTTTGTTATGACATTTTCTTTTGATGGAATTCGTTTGAGCATGTAGATTGTTTTGAAGGGATATTCTGGTAGGGTAACGTACCCAGAGTTGATGAGATATTTCCACACTGAAACGATACAAAATGTTTTTCTCAAGGATTTTGTCAGTCAATTTTTCAGAATTTTCACTTTAATGTCCCTTTTAAACTTAATTTTCATATAGAGTTTCTCTTTGAACTAAAGATGATCTTCCTGGTTGTAGTTTAGGCTTTAGATTTCTTTTAATGAACCCTCGCGGATAGCCATTTTTGATGAGTACTTGTTCGGATTAGAACAGTTCGTTATCTATTGTGTCTTTGCATTATATTTGTTTAGCCGTAAAGAGTGAACTAGATTTTTCTTTCTGCTCAGTGTAACTCAACTTTGAAAATCCAAGTATTGATCATTCTTTGTTGGTTTTCTGTAATATAGATCATTGCGATGAGCTTTTAAAGGATCATATAGTTTTGTATAAATAGTCAGTTAAATACCTTGATTAATAGAGAGTTTCATTACTAGACAAGGGTTTTTCTTTGTTTGCATTCTTTTTTTAGAGTTCTTTTTGTAGTTAATAATATTTTGTTTATCAGAAAGGGGTTTCAAGGAGATTTTAATAATTTTATATAGTTGATATCAGGAGTCAGTTGAAGCTAGACCACCATAGAAAACCTGGAAGCACTGCAGAGGAGTCCCACAAGAGAACGAAACGGCCGTCTAGTGCTTCCAGGTTTTCCATGATGGTCTAGCTTCAATTGACTAATGATATCAACTATATAATATTTTGTTTACTTATATTTAATAGAAAAAAATACCTCAACCTTAAGTTTAGGGACCAAACTGTTTAAAATTTGATTCATTCTTTTTATTTGATGTTCTATTCGTTTGGACGCTATCGATTTCACTTACAATACTCTATGCTGTTATCCAACTTCCGTTTCTTGATTAAGTACAAGAAAAGGATTAAGATTCAGTTGATAATAGCGTTTGACGACAATAAGGTTTGTGGGGGGAATGCGATCTGTAGTAAGACTTAGTTTCACATCTACCTTTCTTCTGAATAGATTTGAATTATATTACAGATTCATGTGATTGTCAAGTTATTTAGTAGGATAAATGATGGATTTAAATATACACTTTATTTTGATTTCGTGAAATAGGAACTTCTATAAAAAAGTAGGATTGTTACGTCCGTCTCCTTAATAATATACAGAAGAGTACCTGTTTTGATCTGGTTGAGTGATTTCCACCTTACATTAGAGCATGTTTAATGAAACTAATGTCAACCAGTTTTTCATGGAAAGAATGGTAGAGTGAACTAGATGGTTTATAAATTATTTACTGAAGTAACTCAATGTACACTGTTGACTAAAGGTAAATAAATCTCCACAAAACCCCTTCTGATTATAATCATATGCTCACTAGCGACTGACGTCAAAAGATGTTTCCTTGAGTTCTGGTGGGAAGTAGTGACCAATAGAGTTCAACCAAGTCTGTTGTAGAGATATCAACTCACTGAAGACAATTGGTGAAC